TATTAATTATTACCTCTTATTATTAAAGAATATAAAGATTTACTTTATTTTTTATATAGTACTTTTAGAACTAGTACTATTAAATATACTACTTATAATTAATATAAAAATAGAAAATACGAACGAATACGAAATCGAGAGAATTATCGATTATAGGAGAACGGATAAATAAAGCGAATATTTCATTAAATAGAAAGGCTATAAATACGAAGAAAATATATAAAAGCCTATTAAGAACCTAAACTACTTATAGCTACTATAATAGTTCTACTAGTACTAGACTCCTCTAGTAGCTCCCCTAACCCTAAGGAGGGCTAGCTTATATTAGAAGCTACCCCTATAAATATAAAGTTACTTTCTATATAATATTTATAGGCGTTAAGGGTAGAAAGTAGACTATCCTCTATATCTAATTCCTAGATACCCCGATAAAACGCCTCGTTATTACGTTCCTTTACTTTCTTCTTAATTTACTAAATATATTATAAGCAATTCACGGTATACGATAAATCCTCTTATAATTTAGCTAGCGCTTCTTCTATAGCCTCTTTATTATCTTTTAATTTCTTCTTAATCTTCGAGAGACGCTTAATTAAGCTACTATTAACTATAAAAATACTAACTAAAAATATAAAAATACGATATTTACGAGAAAACGATACTAAAATACTATTATACTAACGACTACGCTTTATATACTCCCTATACTACGTAGACTTCTCTAATATACGATATTTTAGACCTTTTCGGAAATACTAAATATAAAGTATATTAATATTAGAACCCTTTAACTCGATTAAAGACGTAAAGTTAATACGTTTAACGGATTTCTTTAATAAGGGCTTTCGAATATAACTAGATATCGTATCGCAATTAATAAAGAAGGGAAGTATAGACTAACTAAGCCTAAGATAGGACCTACTACTTATAGCTATTAGGATATCGGCCTAGAGGAGGAGTATTATATAATAACTAAGGGTCGAACGACGGGCCGTAGGTAGCCCTATATTAAGATAACTAAGAATAACGATAAGATAAGGACTACTAAGGAACTAGTTATATAATAGGATTACTAAGTAAGGTAATCCTTAGATAATAAATTACTAATATATTAGGATTATAGTAATCCATAATCTAATATAATAGGATTATAATATAATAGTAAACTATCTAATATAAACTTATTACTTTATAATAAGGATAGGATAGTAGGTATATAAGGACGGATATTCTAGACTTATAAATATATTCTTTCTTACGATAGTAATTAATCTAAGTCTTACTTTATATTCATTATAACGAGTACATAACGCTTTACGATACTATATCGTCTTAGAGTTATAACCTAAGCTTCTATAAATAGCAACCCTAACCCTCTAATAGTGTTCCCCCTCCGGAAGCTACTAGGTCGTAATAATACGCTACCCGGAAAGGAGCTATATTTAAGATATATACTATATTAGGTTTACTAGAAGCTAAGGGATTACCCCCTAGATTCTAGAGGCTAATAGGTCTAGATATAATACCTAGGTTATATATAATTACTAGACTATATTAAATAGACTATATAGTTATAGCTAAGGTTAGAGGTAAAATAATTAAATTCCTTATATTATTTAACTTAATATAGGCCGATTAGGGTTCTAAGGTTAATATAATCTCCCTAGCTATTATTAACTTCTATTAGATCCCTAAGTATAATCTCTTATTAATAGGATTTAGAGGGCTATATATTATTATATTAGATAGGAATATAACCCCTATATAAGAATTCGTTATCCTTAAAGCTATAATAGATAGCCTATAGAGGGATATTTAGGCTATCGTTAGACTTAATTTTTACGGGTCCTATAGAGTATAATTAATACTAGGCCTCCTTTAGCTCTAGGAAGTAAACGTATACCTAGATATTTAGAATAACTAATTAATAATTAATAACCTAGCTAGGAAGGAGGAGGCTAGAGCGCTATAAAGCCCTAGACTTTAACCTTCTACGAGATAGAGGATATTACTAGACCCCGAGAGTATAATAGTATTATACTAAGACTTAGATAGCGATATTAACGCTAATAATTTATCGGCTAATAATTACTAGGACGATTCTAATAGTATTAAAGATATAAATATAGAAGCTTAATCTAATTCGGAAAACTAATCCTACTTACTTAACCTAGATAAATCGGAAAACTATACCTAAATAATATTATTAGCGGATTT